AATTTAGCTTGAAAACCACAGCTTTGAAGCCTCATGCGCGCCATACCCGGGAACAGAACTGTAGCTACTTGTAGCTACTCCCGGGTCCGTATAAATATTATGTTGCTATACCTCTTACACACCTATACAAGTTCAAAGCACGAATGAGACTTCAAAGCTGTGGATTGCTGTGCGTGTGTAGAGGTTCTCAAGCGGTTGACGGAAAGGGAACTTGAAGTACTATACCTGGTAGCTGCACTATGGCTACCCTAGTTCCATTCAGATGATGCAAATGATGCATTTGGCATTTCTTGCATCACCACCCCTCAAAAATCACCTCCAACACAACCTCAAAAAACCTTCCCTCGAAGCACCCTCCTCCCCCAGCATGTGCCGAGTTGACGTATACCTTTCTCGGGCCACCCCCCCCAGACCCCCTAACTACTCACTTCGTTCGCCAGACACAACTCGGCTAGCGCCTTCTACGAAGGCTGGCTTTCGTAAAACAGTATCACCTACCTCATTGAGTAGCGTTTTTGCATCATCAACTCCAGTAAAATAAGGCATTTGACCTGTAAAGAATGTTTCATGGAAAGGACAGTTTTTGAGAGTGCTATCATCCCAACAGGTGAAGTGCTCAGCATAAAGTTGAGACAATTGAAGCTGCAACGATGGCCACCTAGTAGCGATGGCCTCCAATCTAGTAGCGATGGCCTCCAACCTACGGATCCTCAAAAAGAGCGTGTCCTTAAAATGCACCTCAACTTAGCACAAAGCCTTGGCTTTGCAACTTTGTGACTTTGTATCACAAAGGACTCCTTGCTCTGCCACGTTCGCCAAATCTTGCACATCCATCTGGCGCAACAGGGCCCACGAGCTGCCCAGGGCTTGTACTAGCTATACCTACAAGATCTAAATGGCAAAAAAAAAGCCTCGGACTCGAAATGGCGCCTTTTTGCGTCCAGTGGCAGATTCTTACTTTTCAGCAAGTCCCAATGGCAGATTTTTTTTGGCGATGGCGTTTTTTTTTTGGGCAGATTTGGGCAGCTTTTGCTGAAGCCATTCATGGCCCAAAGCTGGTCCTGATGCCTTTGGATGGTGGCTTCAGGTGCTTTTCAGGTGCGCATTCCCCCTTTGCCAGACTGACCGGCCTATCAGACTCACTGCACATGTTTGTTGGTCCTGTCTCAAAAGAATTTGTACCCGAAGAAGTTTGTTGGCTCTAAGATCCCTCCGCACTGAAGATTTGAAGATGGCTGCGCCTGCAATGGACGCAGCTACCACTGAGATGTTGAAATCTTCAGGTGGGGATACGAAACAAGTTTTGATTGTTCCCTCATGTGGCTTGGGTGGCAGGCTTGCACGAGATGCCCACCCTGTGGTACCAAGAAGTGCAAAGAGTTTTGTGGCCCAAGGATGATCCTCAGGCCGTCTCGGTTTTGGTGCTCGGTACACTGGCGTTATAGTTTATCACATGGACAGCTGTTAACAGCATAAAGAAAATCACGCACCAAGCACTACTTGTTTGCAGGCTACTCTTCCCCTCGAGAAGGCAATGGTGATAAAAGAAAATTTTGACCAGAAGGGAAGCATCTATGAGCTGGCCACTTTTTTGTGGAAGTGGGAGAACGACCGCGAACTGGCTTGACAATAGCTGTTTGTCGGACATGTTCTGAACATTTCTGAACCATTGCATTCAGGTTTGTGTTTTCTCTTAGGTCAGGAAGAGGCGAAACTAACTGAGCAGAAGGCACACAGCAGCAGCCACAAGGACAGTGCTGCCTAGTCAGTCTCTTTCACCGCAGAGACCGGTTGTGTGAATTGAAAAGATTCAGTGTTGACCCGTTTGTGCAGCTGTCAGTACAACAATTGAAAATGCACTGGTCTAGCATACATTAGAAAGATACCGGTAGTAGTTGAGTGCGGGTGTGGATCAGAATCAAATACCTAATTTACGCCTAGGGACTGAAAACCGGACCCACTTTTTCTGA